CCAGACTACATCCCCGTATGTGCAACTTCAGAAAGATCTGCATGGCTACACTACAACAGGGTGCCGGCAGGGTAAGTAATGCCCTTGGAAAGCACAAGCTGTTAAAAGGTTGCCAGCAGAAAGCATAGGCGTATCTGCACATACTTCCTGGTAATTTCCTAGTGACTCCAAAGAGTTGCCAATATACATGAAAGCAGGTGCTGGAGTCTCATGAGGCAAACACGGACTGTAGGACCATTCTGCCAATTGCAGTATCAGCCCTTGAGGTTTCTGTGATAGTATTCATGCTTTGTGCAGGTATGGATGGAGCTCCAGGTGCCTGCCCTGCAGGCATCACCTCTGGGAACATCCTGCAGGGATGCTACAGAACTAGCCCAGCTCTGGTGGAATCCACCTATATCCTGAATGGCAGGTCCACTTGAGCGGTCTCCAAGTCTTATGCAGTTCAAGATCCAATTAGGCAACTGATGGCCAATGTCTTGGCTATCAAGACAAAGAGGTCTGGAGATGTTATAAATGGCTTAAAAGTAAAGGCTAAGGCTCTCTTCATTTCTAGTGAATGGAAAGTCTCTGCCCCTGAGGAATGAGGCTTTGAAAAGAACACTGGAAAACACATCTAAAATCCCAAAGGAAAGTCATTAACAACTTTGTGCAGGGAGTTTGGGTGAACCCCCAGGGACACTATCAGAAGAAAAAAAGTGGTATTAGGAGGGTCTGATTGAGGGTTTGGATCTCATCCTCCTTGCCAATGTAATTGCAATTAGGAAGCCTACTTTCAAGGAAAGATGCAGAAGGGATCATGTTACCATAGTCTCAAGTGGTGCTCTCTGCAACGTGAGGACCAGCGTAAGGTCGTGCTCTGGGACAGAGTCCCTACTTGAAGAAAAACTCTGGACATGTCTTGAAGGGAGAAAAAAAATTGCCAACTACTGACTGAAGGCCAGATGGACCTTAATTAAACTGCGGAGATCCCTGTGCTTTCAGACCAAGAGATACTCTACTATCTTTGGTACAGTAGATTTGGCTGGGTTGATGTTCCTCATCTTACACTAGGACAAAAACCTAGGTCATCTCACTAAGTAAGTAAATCTGGGTAGAGTCCTTTCTGTTGTGGATGAAAAGCTCTCTGACCTGGGTTGAACACCCTCGCTGTACTCAAGAAAGCCATCCAGCACTTGGGCTGCGAGGTGAAAGATCCCTGTCTGCTCTGTGTTAGCAAGTCTTGGACCAAAGGCAGCCTCATAGGATCCCTCACCAACAACAATATCAAACCCAGCTCATCCATGAAGGGTTACTGGTATCACCTGGGCCCTGCACATGAGCCTTATGAAGGGTCATGGGAGCAGAGGTGTGGGAATAAATACTTACAGGAGGTTCTTCAGCTATTCTTCATAAATGAATCCCAGAGAGAGCGTGGGCTGAAACCTCCATCCCAGAGCAAACCAACAGGCACTTCTTGTTGGTCTTGATTACTAAAACGTCTTTGGACAGAGGGCCCCATTTTGCAAATTTATCCCTGAGTACCAAGTTCTTGAACTCCTGCTCATGATGTAGGGAGGTGATTCTGCTTGGGCAATCTGCTACAGTGTTTTGAAGACCTGACAGGCACATGGCAGACAGGTGAACTCGATGACTTACCCACCAACAATAAAATAGTTTCTCTGTGTAGGTGGGGCACCACCCTGGCTGTTGATGTAAAAACAACGTAGTGTATTGTCTATTATAATCGGACAAGAGCTCTTGATGCAATGGAGGAAAGCTTTACAGGCTCTCTGCACTGCCCTCAGTTTTAGCATGTTAATATTCAGTCTCATTTTGTCCAGAGACCAGAGGTACCGAATTTGAAGGCTCCCTGAGTGAGCCTTTCGCTGGAGAGGAAGAGACTGAGCAGCTGGGCCTGAAGTCTTCTGAGATGAAGCCTGGCATGTGGCATCATGAATGAGCCATAGGCCTGACCAGAGATAGGCAAACACTTGCTTTCGTCTGTTGTAGTCCGGTGTTGCTTGATCAGCAAGATAAACTCAATTAGGCCATGACAGCAGTGCTGTGAAAGGTAAGCTCTGGCTGACACCGAGTTCAAGTAGGCTACAATGAACCTGATGGTCTGAGCAAGAGCCAGGTTTAACTCTTGATAGTCAATGAGGAGTTCCAGAGACTGGAAAAGGCTCATCATAGTGTGGATTTTTTTTAAATCTAATTGGCCAAAATGCCTTTAGTAACCAGGTAGGTATAAACAGGAATCTGCCACTTGTAAGACACCTTAGTGAAGACTTGGAGTTGTGGGCAAACTAAACAGCAGATCCCTGTGCTGGTAGAGGTCTTGGTCTGCTATAAATCAGAGATTCCTTCCCCTGCACTGCCAGAAGTCAAGATAAGTAAATCAGTCTTCCTGACACAATGCGGGAATAATGGCCACTAGGGAAACCAGCTGGAGTGTGAAGTTGTGTTGAGCTTTCTTAGTTCAAAGACTGGTCTCCAATCTCCCTTTCTCTTTAGAACTGGGAAATAACTAGAACCCTTTCCCCCTCAAATAAAGGGGGATTAGTCCCATGGCCCCTACCATCAGCAGGGATTGGACCTCTTCCCACAGCAGACTCTGAAGAGAAGTCCTTCAAAGGGGATGGGGAAGGGAGGGTGTGAGAAAATAGCAATTAAAACTGAACGGAGGAACTACTGGGGACCACATCCAGGCCCCAAGGTGATACAGGCCCATGCCAGGTACAAACGGGCCAATGTTGGTTTTGGAAGAGCAGGAAGGTGGCACAAAGTTTCCACCTTGTGAACCCACCATCGAATTCCCTGTTTCAGGGCAGAAAATCTGTAAGAGGAGGAGTGAGAGGCAGTGGAGTGCCTTTGTGGCACTTCTGCCACTTTCTAGGGGTTCCCTTGGTGGGAGACCAAGGGACAGTGACACAGACTGTTGCTGGGACAGTAGCAAAGGTATGGGACTGAATGCTTCCTAAGACTCCAGCTAGTAGGAGAAATGGCTCTGCCTCTAGCCAGGCAGCAAGGATTAATGGAAAAGTAGGTCATGTACACTTTTTACCCCCTTACCACGAGGGCATAAGGAGGTGAAGCTAAGGTGAACTCTTCAAACTGCTAAGGCAAAAAAGTGTCTGATCCAAGCACAAGGTGAGACATACCCACAAGTGAGAATATGGATGCTGGCAATTATCAGAAGAAAAACCCTTCCTTCTCACAACCATCCAGCAGGGTTTGAGCTCTTCCATGCTACTTTGGGCATCTGCACGTGATTGAAAGTGTGGGCGGAAATTAATATGAGCTTTCCCTGCTGTTTGTTCAGTTTAGATCCTATGTAATAAGCAGCTACAGTGAGTAGAGCAGCAATTAAAATACAGTAATTATTTAGTACGGTAGGCAGGGACACTCCCTAGAAAATGAATAATGTTTTTAACTATGTCAGATTTCTCAAGCTTTCTTAGTGAGCAGCACATTTGAACAGAGAAAATGCTGCAGGGTTTTCCCTCACATGAGTGCTGGTTTGGGAGAGCTCTCCTCCCACAACAGCCAAATGCCATCTTTCAAAGCACCAAAGAGAGATAGCTAGGAAAGTAGTCGGTGTGCTTTTAAAGCCAAATCCTAACACACATCTAAAAAGCATGTAAACAGCATTTAGAGGTCTAAATTACTACAGGACAAATCCTATTTCTCCTTGACATGTCTAAGTGTTTCTTACATAGCTGCACAACTGCAATTATCCGGCACGTACACACAGTGTTGGATTCTGTTTCCACCTGTGATGCAACAGGATTGGCCTACCTGCTTATCTGCTGGAAGCAATGTGGTAGCAAAAGGCACTCCCACTTCTTAACTCCATAACCGAGTAGCTATGCCATTTCCCTTGTAAACAGGCAACTCAGGTGCTTGACTTAGAGGAGAATTTGAACTGGTACCTTTGTACTTCCTAGCAAAGTGCTCTAGCCACCAAGCTAAAGCTGAGCCTGCTCTCCAGCCTTCCCCCTGAAGCTGTCCCACTGTCCCTTGCATTTACTATTAATTGGCTAAATCGATAAAAAGCAGTGGGTCTGTTCCTACCCCATTTCGGGAAGGGGCTGGGGCTGGAGGCTTGTTCCTTTCAAGGGCAGCACCAAGCAACTCTCACTGAACACCCTCTTATCTCCTCCTAGCCCCTGTACCTCCCCTCTTGGTTGCCCAGTGGGCCAAGTTCAAGAGAAAGGCTGGAGAGTGCACTGGGCAATGCTTAGCCAGTGGCTCTAGTTAGAGCACTGTGGGCTGGTAAGTAGAAGATGAAGCAAAACCCCTCTGGATGAGAGAGCCTAAACCCTGGGTCTCTAGGTTCCCAGACAAGTGGCCAAGCCACTAAGCTAAAAGGTAGGAGGGCTGCCTTCTCTAAACATCCACTGGTTGTGGGTTTTTCTGCAATGAAACTTTCAGGACTTCCCCTGATGAAGAATGCCTCATAATATAAAGCGTGTCTACCTTGATCCCAACCATGCAGGAGGTCCAATAAAAAGATATCACCCAAAAAATTCCTTGCCCTTCACATAAATCCTGGACTATCACAGCTGCGTCACTCCAACACTACCTGGACTTGCACCGAAATTCTACTGGTTCCTCGGTGATTTTATTCCACCCTGAAACCTGTGCAGCCAAACTGCAGCCTACTGAGCATGCTCGGTGGGGAAGTGCAGCGTGTAGCTCTGTGGAATCAAAATTGCATATATCCACCAACATTTTTAGCTGCACGTCTGTGTCAATGCCATTTAGGCACATCGAGGTAGAATACATGCAAGCTTTCCAAGCCTCCGTGGAATTGGTCAATTGTGGGTGTCAAATTTTAGATACTCATCTAAAAATCAATGAGAGCCACGGATAGAGCATATCTGAACATCAAAACCATAAAACAGTTCACATCAAGCACCCTAGAGTGAGTTAGTGGACACTTTGGAAACGTGTTAAGCAGGTGACAGAAAACGGAAGATGGTCGCAGGCAGGGAAGACAGGAAACAAGCCCTTACCGGTAATGCAGTAGGACTCCACGCTGTCATGGGATCAGTGATGTAGCTCCTGTGCGTGAGCAGCTCGGATGCACTTAAGCTACTTTTGGTCCTTCTAGAGCCTAACTCTGGAGTGCTGCAAGAATTACTAGTGGCGCTGGCCCTTCTCGAGTTCTGCTCAAATGAGCTTATCCTTTCGTTGGTCCCTTCCGTTTGAGAGAGGTCTGACGATGACTTGATCGTATTTGTAATAGTGGAAGTTATTCTCTTTTCCACTTTGGCTGGAGAGTCCTCGAAAGAATGGATGCCCTGCCTCGTCCTCCAGGCACTTCTCACAGTGACGTGCTTTGACTCTGGTGAAAGAGTTTCTAATGACCGGTGACTCTTCCAGCTGACTGTCTCCGCTGGTAGCTCGCTGTTGTTCTTCTCAATGGATTCAGAAGATCTTATCATAATGCTGCTTCTCGAAACGAGTGTTTCAGCTTTGTTTCTCAGAGCCGAGTCCCCTGTTCTGTCCGCCTCACATAATTTCAAAGCAATGTCGCTCTTGCTGAGTGAGATCTCGAAAGGTGCGCT